GATTTGGTGTCAAAAGCTGCGCCTTCTAACTTCTGCTGGAGAGGTGCAGCAAAGAAAGGTGCAGCAGGGGTCAGGAGAGGTGCAGGAGGGGTGCATGAGGTCAGGAGAGGTGCAGGAGAGGTCAGGAGAGGTGCCATGCAAGCCCAACACGTAATCACATCTGATAGCTCTATATAAAAGCACAAAAAAGCTTTGCATAGCTTCGCATTTGTTTTGAAATGGTTTGAAGTGTCTTTCGGAAAGCCTTCTAACTTCTGCTGGAGAGGTGCAGGGAAGAGAGGCGCAGCAGGGGTCAGGAGAGGTGCAGGAGGGGTGCAGGAGAGGTCAGGAGAGGTGCAGGAGAGGTGCAGGAGAGGTGCCATGCAAGCCCAACACGTAATCATATCTGATAGCTTTACATAAAAGCACATAAAAGCTTTGCATAGCTTCATTTGTTTTGAAATGGTTTGAAGTGTCTAACTTCTGCTGGAGAGGTGCAGGGAAGAGAGGCGCAGCAGGGGGCAGGAGAGGTGCAGGAGGGGTGCAGGAGAGGTCAGGAGAGGTGCAGGAGAGGTGCAGGAGAGGTCAGGAGAGGTGCCATGCAAGCCCAACATGTAGTCACATCTGATAGCTCTATATAAAAGCACAAAAAAGCTTTGCATAGCTTCGCGTTTGTTTTGAAATGGTTTGAAGTGTCTTCCGGAAAGCCTTCTAACTTCTGCTGGTGAGGTGCAGGGAAGAGAGGCGCAGCAGGGGTCAGGAGAGGTGCAGGAGGGGTGCAGGAGAGGTCAGGAGAGGTGCAGGAGAGGTGCAGGAGAGGTGCAGGAGAGGTGCAGGAGAGGTGCAGGAGAGGAGGTTTGTATCATACAATATCATACATGTGCATACCATATCATACCATGCAATCCGCAGAAAACGGTCCCCAAGACGGCTCAACAAATTCACAAGTTTTAAACGCGAAAAATTACAAGAATTGCCAAATCTTGCCAAATCTGGTTGCCTGTTCCCACAACCCTCCAAGCCGTGCAATTGGAAAAGGAAGCGGCAATCGATGAACAATGATGAACATAAATGAACAAACACGAACTCGGATGAAGTTAAACCTGGTGTTAAATGGCCCTGAATAAGGTATTATCAACCCCCAAGTTCTGGATGGTAGAACGGAGCTACAGGACGCGTGGCACCTTCGCCAAGACTCATGGAGCTGGGCTTGAAATCTCTTGTCGCACTCGACAGCAGTGGATTCGGCATCCGAGAGTCATAAGCCGGATGTCTATGTCTCAAAATTCGGACCCCCCAAGTGGATTGTTTATATTATATGTTTTATATTATATGATGATTTTCAATCATTTGCTCTGTTGAAAATGACTTGTTGGTTCCCCAATATGGGAATGATATGCCGATATGCCCAAATCTGTTTCACAGCACGGATTTCATCATACCTGCGATGCCATACATGCATTTGTGAGCCAAACTGCTCCAGACGTGCAAGCGAAATATATTTCAGAAATTCTTTCACATACCCTCCCCTAAAATTTCAGTGGCCGAGGGGGTCACTATGTTGTAGCTGTAATGTGGTGTACTGCAGTTAGCGTAGTGTAGTGTGATGTAGTTGTAGTGGTAGTTGTAGTTGTAGTGTAGTGGCAGTTGTAGTTGTAGTTGTAGTTGTCTATCTATCTATCTATCTATCCTGCAAGCGTGAAAACGAAGCTATTGATTAGGATAGATTCGACCTCAAAATGATTGGCCAATGTCTGGTACAGTGGTACAGCACACTCTTCTGCCTCTGGTGCGGCGTAAAGTAAGGTTCCGGTGATGCTGCGCGCTTGGAAAACAGTGTTTCCTTCCATGCGTTCCTATTCTTTCAACTGCTGACAAAATAACGCTTCTGAGCTTGGCACCTACTAAATCCCTGTGGCCACACAATAAATCCCGCGTTAACATATTTAACAAAGACTCGGGAAATATTGTTTGTTTGCATCTGTTCCTATGTGTTCAATTACGTAGTGAACGTAAGCATTGCATTTACTAAATTTACTAAATCCCCATGGCCACGGCATATTCAATTTGACTGTGGCAGAGGAAAATAGGTTAAGAACCGATGATAGAATCACCTACTCGAGTTTGCCGCAAATATAATATCATGCTGCGGACCCCCATCGAAGAGAAAGGAAAGGATCAAACGTTAATGAAAGACATCTTCATTTTCCCACGGCTACATGTTTGCAATACATTGCAATACCAATTGATGCATTGATACCATCTCCTGCCATTCCTTGCGCCCCTAGGTCCTACCTACCTGCCTACATCTGCCTACCAAACTTCCCTACTGATTCATTCAGTAAATGAACCACCTTCCTCACACACCGGGGCTTGAATCCGGGACCCGAACCCGGGACCGGAACCCGAATCCGGGACCCGAATGCGGGGCCTGAATCCGGGACCCGGATCCGGGGCCCGAATCAGGGGCTCGAATCCGGGGCCCGAATGTGGCGCCCGAATCCGGAACCGAAATCAAAATTATAAAAGAATATCAAAGAATATAAAAATTGAACTTGAAGTTATCTCGAGATTCAGTCTAGTAGTCACTGTTCCTAATACATTTCCAATCCCCTATACAAAGACTACTGAATTATGGTTTCTGCATGGTGTTTCTTTGTAAAAAAACACTCGTGGATTTACTCTCCATTCGCAATTTTAGTGAGGAAGTTGCTTTCCAAACCATGGAATAACCATGGGATGTTCTAGTTTTCCCGTGGTTTACCCAGACTTTCACAAAACTCACAGAGGTTTCCAACCACTGCAATGCACCAGCCGCGGGGCTGCCCTTCTGGTGCTGCTGCGGCCTGGCTATGCTCCAGAATCTCAGGCCCCTCCTCCTGCGGCTTGGCCGTGATAAGAATCTACCGCGGAAATGCACACAGCTTGAAACCTGGAAAGCAGCACAAACCATGCGTGTTTTGGATTTCACCTGCCCCAAATGGCCCTGAGAAACTTCAAAAAGGGGCTCCAAACTGGATGCCCAAAGATTCGCCCTAATTTCTGCGCTTGTCCCTGACACAGTCCAACCAGTGCGGGTGGGAGGCTTGACACCAGGAGGGCGCCGAATGACATATTTGTACTCCAGTCTCTTTGAACTCGAGGATGCCTGCGACTTGGCGGAGTGTGAGCTGCGGCATTCCGCTGGCAAAAGCTGAATTGATGTGTACATGATACGACACAAAAAGGAACAACAGCTTTGAGACGGTCTATGCATACTTTGTCTTTCAATATATTTCCGATTCCTTCAGTATGTTTTTATAACCCCATGACATGAGAAAATCCCAACATATCCCAACCATCAGCCTCCTCTGGAGGGCCCACATCGGAGATGTCAATTCTCTTCCACAGGGGCTAATTCAACGGCTTCGGCACTACTGCCTGACGTGCCAGGGATGAAATGACTTGGGGAAAATGCCCCAATGTTTGGCCACTCAACCCATAGGGAAACTGATGCTCAACCCATCAAAGTTGGGGACGTTCCCTTCAATTTTCAGACAGCCCCAGTTGTTCCAACGAAATTTGCCAAAAGGCTTCCAACTGATGGAGATGTTTGGATAATTTTGGAGTGGAGCTTTCGGCAAGACCCAGGGAATTTGTGTGTTTTTTGATGAAACAACGGACATGGATGAACTGAAGCACCACGACAGCTGGCAGAGCCATAGATGAGTCATTCAATCCCAGAGGCTACCAAGGGGCCAACTAGCCATGAAAAAGTGAGCTCAAGTGGACGCCGGTGAATGCCAAAGGTGATGCAAAATCCGTCATTGGTTAACCCCTTCTGGATGGATCAAAACCAAAACATATATGGGAGGTTTCCTAAGTCATGGGTACCCCCATAGCTGGATGGTTTATGTCATGGGAAATCCATCTATAAATGGGATGATTTGGGGGTACTGTATTTTAGGAAACCTCCATATGGAAATGGGCTGGGTTTGACAATAGAGATTTAATGACTCACTAAATCCCTAGAATCCCATATCAAATCCCCTTAACAATCCAGATAAAGCCTTTATAAATAAAATAAATATCATATCAAATCCAGACATTTCGCAGATGTGTCATGCAACTTAAATACCCCCTATGTTGCCACTGCTCTTGGGTGATGCATTTCATTTTGTGTATCAGCAAGATGGTGATAAGGAGTTTTATTCATTTTTCCATCCATCTTTTCATCCACTTCATCCAATGGCATCCAATCCTGCGCATGTGCAGGGGATGATCTCGCCTCAGGAAGGCCGTGGCGGTGCGAGGTGGAGCTGCAACAGGGCAGGGGGAGGCTTCAGCTACAGCACTGACGCGGCCGGCTCATGATCCAAAATGGCTTTGGGCGGCCCGCTAAATCTGATTGAAATCTCTGATCAATGGAAAAAAATGAAACACAATAAATGAAATTTCAAGGGATGCCCCCCCTCTGGACAAAAACCTGAAGTTCTCATGTCTTATTTCTTATCGCTAATATACGTTGTTGAATGTTTTGGTGAAAATTGAGCAAAGCCACTTCAGCCGAAAAAATTCACCTCAGGCGAGATTTCTGGAATCAGTCTGATTAGTAGACTGAATCACTCCAGACCAAATTTCTGGTCTGCGGGGGATCCGGGTATACATATATTATCATATATTATCATATATTATCATATGTAATCATATACTATTATATATTATCATATATTATCATATAATATCATATTTATATATGTATATTCGGATGATATACGCATACATAACACGATATCCATAAATTTTAGCCTCTTGTCTTTGGAGGGGGTGATTTTGATTGTATATGTATAGGTGGGGGGGTATCCACAAATGAAATATTTCATTTAGACCCCCCCTCCCCCTCAACAGGGTGATGATGCTCCAGGTAATGCAATCGTAGACCTACAACAGGTACTTCTGAAACTTGAGATGACCGGGTATTGCATGGTGGAATATGTTGGAAGTTGAAGACGGACCAACCGGATGCTCAACGTTTGGACCAGGAATGGCCTCGGTCTACATGTCTCGGTCGAGGGAGACCTCTTTGGTGCTGCAAAAGAGCTTGGCTAGGCAGACAAAAGGTAGACAACATGAACAGCGTAGCGAGTCATATGTGGAGAGGAACCTTTTCAGTCCTTCAGCGACTTTATCCATTTTATCCCCAAAACGCTTGAGCATGCTTGAGCTTATCTTGCAGCGACTGCTACTGTTTGGATCTTGGTGCCTCAGATAGGATCCATTGTTTTTCAACTTTTCAAGTCCCTTTTGACACCAGATAGGATTGTGTCCATCGAGACTTGACACAGTTCAAGTTTGAAGGCCTGCCGACGTGCTAGCTGGCATGAAGCTTTTCTCTGGTCACTTGGATTTGTTCCGCGGGTTTCAGGACCACCTATGCCTGTGGGGGAAGCACACCTGAGGCTTGAACCCCACCTTCATTCGATCCTTAGCCAACATTACGGAGCGGAAGATGAACTTCTTGGGCGATGTTTTCAAGGAGCGGCGAGCCATGACAAATTTGAGAAGGTTTTGTCCCACTGAGACACATCACGAATATCCCATGCAGATCATGCAGTGTCAGGAAGAAGGAAGCACTGATCGAACGTTGCGACTGCTAGAATTCGGCAAAGTCCGAGTGGAGACTGCACAAAAAGGCAGGACATGTTCGAAATGAAATGCTTGGCATGTCAGAGTCTTCGCCATTTCTGAACATGTAACTATAAGGAACATAGCCAAATTCAGTCCTTTCTGATTTTTGATCCTTAATTTTTGAAGTTCCTTTCCTGCTGTGCGCCAGGATATGTTGGAATGACCGATGCTGGCACCGTGATGGGAGAATACATGTTCCTGGGATTACGCACTACCTCCCAGGCTGGGCGGCGCTGGGTGGCGCTGTGGACACCCTGGGCCGAATGGGCCATGCAATTTTCGCACCGAACGTCGCTCTGAGGCTACGTTCAGGGTTGCTACGCCCCTAGTCGTGATGCTATGGATTTCGCATCATTCCTTTGAGAACATTCTTTCTGATGGATATCCTTCTGAACCTTGGTTACAAAGGCCAGCCGTTCTATCCTTGAGAATCTGAGAACCGCTATATAGTATTATACATATATATATATAGTCTCATAATTTCTCATACACAAGAAGTGGGGAGGAGTGATGCGTCCTGTGGATTTCTACCTCGCTTCAAGGAAGCAGCATACTTTCGCAGCCTCGAAAAGACTGACCGTGGCAGGGAGGACATGAGCCACTATGCAACGGATTTGAAGCTTTTTCATGGCTGTGGCCGCAGCCCCTTGGAGTTTCGAATTCATCCGAATTCGTGTTTGCCAAGTTTTCTTTTGAAGATCAGCTGTCACAGCTTGTGATACTGGTATGCCATGTATGCTAGCAGATGAAGCAAAAGTTCAATCTTTCCTGTCGACGTGTTTAAGGCTTTATTGAAGCAATAAGTGCGGGCATTTGCCGGCGTTCTTACAAGCCGGGCCAGACAATCGTGATTCAGAAGGCGATCGACACAGGATCGCTTTTTCTGGTAACCACAGGGAAGGCATCTGCTATGATCGATGGCAAGGTTGTTGAGGACCGCTTTAGCCGCTGAGCCCTGTTTCAGATTGCCCACAGATATCCACAGATCCAAGAATTGAAGGTTGAAAGATGTTAAAAGGTTTAATGTTTGGACAATATATTGTCAGTCTGATGATAAATCATCAAATTTGGATTTTGGGGTAACATGTTTCACACAAACACAGAATATGTTGACATCATATTGATCCAATTTGACCCATATTTAAGAGTTAAGAACTATCAGCTGATGCCCGGTGCCCCGCAGGAGCTGTCTCCTGGAGGCGTTTTCGGTTTCTTTGCTGGCAAGTGATGCATTGTCACGTGCATTGTCTCAGTCGCCCCAACAGCCCTAGCTGCAAAAAGGCTGTGAATATACGTATGTAAATATCCCAAAGCACGGGCAAAAGGGGCCCAGAAATGTGACCAGAAGCCGAGAAGCCGAGAAGCCGAGAAGCCCGACACAAGCCGAGAAGCCGCGAAGCCGAGAAGCCACCGGACAAGCCGAGAAGCCGAGAAGTCACCGGAGCCGCCGGGCAAGCCGAGAAGCCGAGAAGCCACCGGACAAGCCGAGACAGTGCCCTGGCACCCCTGTGAACACTATGTGCATCTTTAACCATCACAAGACATAAACTCCCCAACCCCCTCTGAACAACACGTTGCACCATTGAGGACATCAGCCCCGCCACCCCCTTTGAATATATGTGCACTTCGAAGACAAACCAGCGGACCACCTCTGAACACTACCTAGCCCCGTTAAACTTCTACATTCATTGACGATCTTCAATGAGGGTTTAATTCTCCCAGCCCCGTTAAACTTCTACATTCATCGAAGATCTTCAATGAGGGTTTAATTCTCCCCAGCCCCGTTAAACTTCTACATTCATTGACGATCTTCAATGAGGGTTTAATTCTCCCAGCCTCGTTAAACTTCTACATTCATTGACGATCTTCAATGAGGGTTTAATTCTCCCAGCCCCGTTAAACTTCTACATTCATTGAAGATCTTCAATGAGGGTTTAATTCTCCCAGCCCCTTCAAACTTCTACATTCATCGAAGACCTTCAATGAGGGTTTAACTCTCCCAGCCCCGTTAAACTTCTACATTCATGGACGATCTTCAATGAGGGTTTAATTCTCCCAGCCCCGTTAAACTTCTACATTCATGGACGATCTTAAATGAGGGTTTAATTCTCCCAGCGTCGTTAAACTTCTACATTCATAGCCGATCTTAAATGAGGGTTTAATTCTTCCCAGCCCCGTTAAACTTCTACATTCATTGAAGATCTTCAATGAGGGTTTAATTCTCCCATCCGTTGATTTTTTTTTTGTTATTTAAACTTCTACATTCATCGAAGTCTTCAATAAGGGTTTATTTCCCAAGCCGGTTATTTTTTTTTTAAACTTCTACATTCATTGAAGATCTTCAATGAGGGTTTAATTCCTCCCACCCCCGTTAAACTTCTACATTCATTGACGATCTTCAATGAGGGTTTAATTCTCCCAGCCCGGTTAAACTTCTACATTCATTGACGATCTTCAATGAGGGTTTAATTCTCCCCAGTTTCGTTAAACCCCTACATTCATTGAAGATCTTCAATGAGGGTTTAATTCCACCCAGTCCCGTTAAACGTCTACATTCATTGACGATCTTCAATGAGGGTTTAATTCTCCCATTCCCGTTAAACTTCTACATTCATCGAAGATCTTCAATAAGGGTTTAATTCTCCCCAGCCCGGTTAAACTTCTACATTCATTGAAGATCTTGAATGAGGGTTTAATTCTCCCCAGCCCCGTTAAATTTCTACATTCATTGAAGACCTTCAATAATTAAGGGTTTAATTCTCCCCAGCCCCGTTACCCTGAGTCTCGAAATCTAGTGATTTTAGTTTTTTTTGATGTTTTACTTTACTTGGATTTTTTACTAGTAAAATTTACTTTTGCCTGGTAAAGTAAATCCATTTACTAGCCAAGTATTTTTTTTGAAAAAAAATAGAAACGCATAAGAAACGCATATAAAGTGCATACTTTTTTTCGGATCATGTTGACCATGTTTGAAAGAAATATATGTTTTCATTTGTTTTTGTATTGTTTTCATGTGACACAAGTAGAAATTGGCTTGTTTTGAGTGTGTTTTATCTTGCGCAAGTAAATGGTTTTCACAAGTAATGCAGCATTTTTTTGTTCCAAGCTCAAATTCTGCCCCGTCCCCAATAGTCACTTTTGTTTCCACAGCCAGAGATGATTACTAAGATAAGATAGAGATGAAGGCAAGTCATCACATGTACAATGCATTTGATAACTTCTAGTCATTGTTTGGCTTCCACATCACAAGTAACTTTCGCATGTATGCGTCATTGTTTGCTTTTAACCTCACAATCTATTTCCACATGTAAGTGTCATTGTTTAGTTTGAATCCCACAAGTAATCTTCAACTAAGTGTTATTGTGGGGGTTCAAAATCACTCGTAAATTTCACATGTAGGTGTTTTTTCTTGGGTTTTAACACCACAGGTAATTTCATGTAATTTTCACATGTAGGTGTTATGGTTTAGTTTTCACTTCACGAGTAATTTCCACATGTGAATGTAACTGCTTAGTTTTTACCTCACCAGTAATTTCTACATATATTTTTTACAACCATATTTTTCAAGTCAGTCAGAAGTTTTTTGGGAACACAACACAGCAACAACGATTTTGAAAGAAAATCGTCGAATATGGCTAAGTTCCTAAATGTTTATATTTAGATGAAAATTCACATGTTGCTGACTTATATCTGCTTAGCCCAGCGCTGAACAACAACTTCCCATTGTGAAAATATCATATAGTACAAACCACAAGAAAATGAAAAACTGAAGTTGTTCAAACAATTATGCATTAGGGAATGTCTCAGAAATGGGGTGCCATAACCAAGTGCCCCAAACCCTTCTTATTTAACTAAAAAACATGAGCTTGGGGCACTCCTATTTTGAGACGTTCCCATTTATATCTTTGAAATTTTTTGAACGTGTTACTTGTGGAGTACTTGTGGTGTAATTGTTTCTCAGTTTGACGCTCATTGTTTTTCTGTGGTGTTTTGCTTGCAACATGGCTGTTGCATTTGTTGTACTACATGTGCCCCACTTGATAATTTCATGTTGATGTAGCCACTGCTGGATATAGATTAGCTGCCAAACAGATGAGGTTTTACCTCTGGCCTGTTCAATCTATCCATGGAAAAAATAAATTGATAGAACAAATCGTTTCTCCGGTTTTGTTCTTACTTGTGACTACTTGTGATACTATCTCAACAATATCTTTGTGTGTTAGAGTTTTTTTAATGAGACTAAGGTTGCCTTATTTTTTTGAAATAAACTCTCCAGAAACCAACTAAGGCTGCCACTTGTTTTGCCGCCTCTCCAGGTTAGTGACAAGCCTCAGGATGACGATGGTGCTGGGTTTTTGGAGCTGGGAAAATTTATATACAGCAAAACAACCCCCAAAAAAAATAGGAATAAAACAATATCAGATCTATTTTGGGCCATGACCAACTGTAGCAAATAAGGAATCATCCTTGAAAAAAACAGTTTCTTTTTCAATTATTGTTTTCTGACTGCCAACGTCCATTTCATGTTGAGAACAAAATTCAATTATGTTTTAATTTGGTTTGGTTAGTTAAGATTATTTAGTTACTCATATAATTCCTATGTATTACTTGTGTCATTGGTTTTGTGTTTTTGTAGAAACATATTTTTGATATATTTGTTTAATGCAATTCTTGTGCACTCCTT